TCCTCAGCATCTGCAATCATGCTATAACCAATCCTGCACCATCAAGACCAATTATCAGGATTAAAAAAAATCTAATAGTTAACATAAGAAACACATTCAGAATTCAAATCAGCATAGTAATTCCCAATGTTAAGATAAGAACAAACTCAAGAAAAAGACAAAAAAAAAAAACTGTTTTTAACACTAGAGCATGGTTCCCTGAGCTCAAGCTTGGCCGCAATGCGACCAACACAACCATCCAGGATCTGATTAAGATATACCAACAGTGTTTTACCAATAAACTACACAAACAAACAAGACATAAGTAGATGAATCTTCCTCTAATCTCCACCAATATAAACAATATTACTAAAAAAAAAAAAAAGAGAGAAAGAGAGAAAGAGCTTACTTCAGTGTCATCTTCGGCAATCCCAGATCTCTCAGCAGCCATGTTTCCCAAGAACTGTGATTCAGAAAACTGACTGATTACAAAAAGAGGATCAATTTACCCCTTTTTTTTGGGGAGGGGGGCACGGTAGTGCATGTATAATCCCTTAACCATCTCTTTTGTCAATAACACATTAATTATATACAATCAAAAAAAGGAGAGCAAGATTGTCATGGCCAACCTACCAATATCTGGTAGAAACCACTATTTAGATGCAACATGAATACATATACAATAGATCAAAGCTTGGAAGCAGTCCAGCTCGCTGCATTATATAAGTTACTCAGATTCAGTAAACAACAAAATGTGGAAACACATAAAAGTGTAGCCCCCTTGGTGTTTACAAAACCAAGTTAAAGCAGATTTTCATGAGAATTCCAAATGACAATGCCATCATGTCTAGTATAGGAGACAGGGACGTTAATGATGAATGAAGCAATGGTAGGTCATCTGCATGCAAAAAATTCACTTCAGCAACAGGAAATTTGGATCCACACCTGCCAGCTCTGCCTGGAAAATCAATAAGTTCATTAAAATAAAAAAAGTGAAGCATATGGAAAATACCATGCTGCATGGATCATCAACTTTAATATGGGTGACCAAAACAAAGAACCTTAATGTCAGTTTTCAGCAAAGGGGCTAACACTATTAACACTATATATCAGCACCATGCAACTTGTATGATTGAGAAAACTGAAAAAGAAAAAGAATTTAACAGAATACTACCAATCCAAAAACCAACTATGTAAAAATTTTAGTTAGAATTCCAAGTTACCTGCAATCTGCTTTATCTCTGGTACTGTAAGCTCCCTCATTTCAACACCATCAAACTTTTTCATAGCGGAGAATATGATCCTAGAAATATTCAGATTAAGACCCATCCCAATTGCATCACTAACCACAAGCACATCAAACTCACTAGTTTCATCATTAAACATTTTTTTCTGCAATCTTAAACAGCATATTAAAAATAAACAAAAAAGAATAACAACTACAAATGATTAAGAAACAAGATTCATCATTGCATGACAATAAAAATAGCATATCAAGATTGAGAGTTGTACTGAAGAAGAAAAATAAGTAGAAGAAGAATGGCACCTGTCTTGTACGAGTCTCTGGTGGCAATGAACCATAAACCACAGAGCAAAGATGTTTCCCCCCATCCTGAATTTGCTTCTGGAAAAGAAGAAAAGATCAGAAATTACTTTCAGAAGAGGAGAAAAGAAGGGGCACGTGATTGGAGAGAATCAAAGTTTGAAATATTTATATGCATATGTCAATACCAAAGTTAAAGGGAAAATTCTTTCTTCAAAAATAGAAATTGCAGGATCTAAAACAGTAAAACATATGAGAAGTAAAGCTTTATTTGATATGTTAAAACTATGCAGTTTTTCATGTTGAAAATTTTTTTTCCAAATTATGCAAATACAATAAATGGGAGGATATTAAGGTAAGGAGGGCTGTAGTTAACAACTAACCAATTGAAACCACGCGATAGCAATTAAGCAGACAGACACACAGAGAAAGAAAGAAAGGGAGAGGGAGGAAGAGTAATATAAATAAAAAGGAGAAAACTGTAAAATTTAAGATAAGAAGTTCAACAAGATTGGAAGTTATGCCTAACCTTAAATTTATAGATCTGGTGATGTGAAAATGTTACAATGCAATCTCCTGTTTTTATATTAGAAAAAGATCCAAGTGGAACTTCTAGAGGAACAAGTGGTGAAAGTCTTCCATAAGTTCGGACCTGGGACATTAAGCATACAAAGATTACAAATTTACAATAGAAACAAACAGAAAAAGAAAGATAACAAGCATGCCATTTTGTTTTAACATAAATGTTACATTTAACAAGATAAAAAATGTAAATTAAAAAATTGATCAAACATACGTTCCAGAAAATTACAGTACCTCTACATTATCATCAGTCACTTTCAGCACTTCCTGAAAAAGAGGAACAGCAGCCGCATCTCCACAAAGATGAAGTTCGTCAGCAGCAATTCCCAATAGAGCACGTGTGAATGAAAGACCCCTTGTTTTACAGCCCAACATCTATGGAGAACAAGAAAAGATAAAAAGAATGAGAAATAAGGAAGATCAATCTAAACATAGCTATTCCCTTTTTCAGACAGCAACAGACTTACAATTTCTTAAATCACTCCAACATATCAACTTCAAATTTAATTAATGCAACTGCTTTGTGTAAGGATACTGAAAATATGGCATGAGAAAAGAGCTGATTAAAGAAAAACTTGCTTGTATTTCATCAATAACAGCACAATGGTAATGGGAGGTTACAGCAGCCATCTCCACTGTGACAGCCTTGCACCATGAACTTCGTCTCTCTCTTGTCCTGTATCAAAAGGAACTTTTGCTTTGTTCATTTGTTTTGCCACTTCCCACGCCAACAATCTTCAATGGCCACAATATATACCTGCAGAGAGCCAGAGCCCATAAATTGTAAATCTGTTTATCATAAACTACAAACTCCTACTGTGTCCTGGCCAAGGGACA